TGTGACTACTACGTTACGCATGAGTAAACCTTCTTTGTGAACCACACATGTCACGAGAGTTTCTCTGTCGAACGGGGCAAACCTCACAAGCCCTACCTTGCCTTTAGAACAAGCAAGAATACTTAACCATTTGGTGATTCCTTTTGGATTTGTGCTAGTTGCTATGATACTTTCGGTCTCATTCCCACCACCTACTCCTGATTTTATGCCTCTCTATCTTTTTGTATACAACATTCTCAATACCAGCAATACAAAAAAATGCCTAAAGAGCCCTGTATGACCATATTATTCAAGTTAAGTCAATTTTGTGGATGTTGATAGCTAGTGTGAAAAACCCGTCAACATCAAGTGTAACAAAAGTTTTCTTCTCTGATAAAACAAAGGTAAGATAAAATTTGTCAGACCGATCTGGGACAAGGAATAGCAAAGGGAAAACAAAGCTTTTTTGGCTGACATTATAAAAGGAGTGATGTGGCAAAAGATGAAAAATGAGCTCAGCAACACCACAGCCACAAAGACAAACAAGTTATAAATTATTACATTTCCCGGAAAGAAATTCTGAAGGTAAGTTGTTGAACTTCCAAAGAAGAACCTTTGTTGGGATGGCAAAGTAAGTCATGTAATACAAGTAGCCAGTTACCATCCAGGTTAACCATTTGGAACCATTTGATAAGTTCTTAAATCAGATGTTTCACTTTGTTATCCAACATCTAAAAGTCTTTCCTGGTGATTTTCTTGCCCTGAATAAATTCTAAAAGATGTAGAAAATCTATCAAGAAGCCACATGATGGGAGTTTTCTAAAAAATGCTTGAGACCCTTGAAGACTAAAATTGGTCAGAGAGAATAAAGGGGACCAGCCCTTTGAGGACATAATGCAACTGAAGCCAGTAATTAAATACTAACATGCTCTTACCTCAGTCTTCAACCAACCAGTTCTAATCTCAGGACTGCATTGGATACACATATTGGAAAGGTGCTTAAAACGCTACTTCAATCTTTTTAAATCCAAGCAGCAGATTGTAGTATTTTTTTCTGAAGGGACAAACTAAAGGGTATCATGCATATTATTTTTTTTAAAAGTATATATTATTTAACAGTATAGCTAACATATGTCCAGGTGATTCTGCTCCCTCACCAATGCAAGGTGTGGAGATGTTTAGGTTTGAATGTTGTGGTGTGTTAGTCCTTTGATTCAGTCTTGACTCCTGGGGACTACATGGACAGGTTCATTCACAGTTTTTTGGCAACATTTTTAGAAATGGCTTGCCATTATCTTCTTAGCGCTGAGAGAGAATGACAGCTCCAAAGTCATCCCTTTGGTTTCATGCTGAGGGGAAGAATAGAACTCAAGTTTCCCTGCTCCTAGTCCAGCATCTTTACCTACTATACCAAACTGGCTCTTCTTAGATTAGAATATAATCAACAAAACATTGTATGACATTCTGCCTGCAATTTGAAAACAGTGTACAGCTTGGTTGCTGTATTTGAAGAAGTGTGTAATAGAGCTAGAGAAATGTCGAAGGGGGCAACCAAAATTCCCAGGAGGCTTGTACAACTTTCCTACAAGAAAGGCTAGAATGCTTAACACTCTTTGGCCTGGAAAAAGGGGACTAAGTGGAGACATGATCAAAGTGTATGAAGTCAAAGCATGAAATAAAAAAAAGGGGGGGATAGGGAGATTTTCTTTTCCCCACTTTTAAAAAAGTAGGATCAGAGGCCATCCAATGAAGGTGACTGAAGTAGATTTAGAACAGATTAAAGAAATCACCATTTCACAGATGATACAATTAATCTGGGGAATTCTTTGCCACAAGATGTGGTAATGGTCATTCATTTGGCTTTAAAGTGCATAGGGGGAAGGTCTGTCAAGGTCTATTGGTCTTGAAGGCTCAATATTATCTCCAGATTAGAGGCAGCAGACCTCCAAACATGAGCTGCATGGAAAGAAAGGCAGAGGAGAACTGCATTTCTACCTCTTGTTCATTCGTACCCCAAAATCCTCTTGTTGGCCACTGTGAGAAATAAAGTGCTACTCCCAAATAGATCTTGACTGGATCTAGCAGGGTTGCTTTTGTGTTCTTATGTCATAAGATTAAGCCAATACTGCATGAATATTAAATGTTGGATCAACTTCCTCATCTTCCTGATGTGGGGTTAAAACTGAAAATACTTCCATGCAGTCAGAAAAATATCAAAGCTATAAGGCAGAATTGTAGTTTCATGAACATTCTGACTGATAAAAATGTTTTACATTTATGATTGCATTTATATCACTGCTCTTTTTCAAGATATGTGTATTCCCACAGAATAATATTCCTTTGAGGCAGATTAGGCCAACAGAAAATTACTGAACCCATGTTACCCAGTGAGCTGTGTAGTTCAAGTCAGGGACTTGAACATGGGTCTTCCCAGTCCACATTTGAAACCTTAACTACTATTCTACATGGTCATGGATCAATGGGTGACTGTTTGTGACATCTATATTCCAACAGAAAAACATGTTAATCTGTGGCATTGTTGATTTGATGGCACCTAAAACAGATTTCTTATGGCATAGTTTCACTGAGTAGGGCAGAGTACAATGTATGGATCCAAGATACATCTATGGTTTATTACAGATTATTATATTAATAAGCTAAACTTCATTTTTCTTATTCGTTTTCAGTGTAATAAACTTTTGAGAATCAACAATACCCACTTCAATCTAGATTCCAGCATTTTGAGGGAATTATTCTGCCCAACAATTCAAATTCAAGAGTGTAATATATATTCTGATCTCACAAAGGTCTCTCTATTTCACATGGCTGCACGTTGGATTAATTACCTGTTCAGTTTTCTGCTCTTAAAAGGGATTTAATTCCCAATGGAATGTTATTGTTTTCTTCATTTAGTTATGAAGTATAATTTAAGAAACTTTCTGATCTTGCCATCAAGAATAGATTTATAGCACAATACTATGTATTATTACAGTATATAGAAATAATCCCACAAAGTTCAAAGCATCTTAAGAGGATTGTACCTTAAATTCATTTAGAAATCTACAGTAGGACAAAAGAAGAAGCATTCTCATAATATGTAACAATAAATTACACCACAAAATAAAAGAATCACATATATGCGTGCACATATCAATGCTATTAGCTTTAATTAGGAATCATTAGACTTTCTCAATTCTACTCATATTGTCCAATATTTTTACATTCCTTGTGCTCTGCTCTATTTGTCACCGAGTAGCAAATCTGGCTTCCAGGATATAGTAACAGATTAAAGTAAATATCTCTTGAGCTGAGTTCAATTCCTGATGACTAATGAACATGTTCATCTGGTTTTGGGGCAATGGAAGCAGTTTGCTATTGCTTTCTTCCATCACAAGATTGCTTGTGGTTGTTGAACTGGAAATCATAGTCCTTCCTAGGTAACAAACAAAAGCACATAATGCATTCCACTTATGAAATAACAAAGAAGATCTATAATTTCAACATAAGGATCGCACCAGTCACATGGTGTTCTATCCAACAACCCAAGTTCAAGGCTATAATGCAATAGACGCACCTCACAGAAGCTTGGCACGTAATGAGTTTCTCCTTTTCTCATAATGTTCACACAGCTATAGACCGGAAGCAGTACCATCTGGGGTTTTTCCTCCTTCAAATTAATAAAATGATGTGCTGAGAAATTAACATTTGCTCCCTGTAGTTTAGCCCCTGAAAGCCAAAAGGTGCAAAGAGAAAAAGAAAAGAAAAAGAAGAAAAACCACCACTCTGTGAACTGTGAATCTGTTCCATTATATGATGTGCTGCAGAAGGAAATAGAATAATCCCTCAATCATTTGGGAATTTACCTCTTTTTGCATCATGATTAATATTTCTTGTTTTTAAAGATTACAGGTTTCCTGATTGTAATCCCACTGGCCTTCAGTATTGTTTGGGGCAGCGCCTGTGATGTTTATCATGCTCTCCTAAAGGAGGAATAGGTAGGTGTCTACTTGTTATATCAAAAATGTGCAAGGTTAATAGAAGTGCCTTACCTGTCACTGCCTTGCCTGAAGACTTTTAAGTTTTTCTGTAACTCTCACCTAACTCTAATACTAAAAATGAAACTGAGAGAAGACTAAGGATATTGCCATGTTTAAAGCAAGGGGTTGTGATCCATTTTTTCATGAAAACTGACTCCATGGCCCTGTTCTCAAAACCATTTTAACTGAGTCAGTCACTAACCCAGCCAGATTCCTAGCGGTTTTGACAAGAAACAATCACATTGAATGGGTCAAAATCACAAAACCAAAATCCCTCACACCCACTTCTCCGGAAAGCGTACCATATCCCATAAGCCCTTGAAACCAGAATGTGATGGTGTTATATACATTCGTGTGTGTGTGTGTGTGTGTGTGTGTGATTTACAGTTAACCCAAATCTCATAATCTCTGGGAACTCTGTACAAGATCTATTTGTTCTGTTGCCACCACTAAACATTTTTCTGGTTTAGAAATTATTTTCTTTTTCCCCTTTCTTTTTTTATGTCTTTGAAGGAACATGACCAGGTGGAATGTGGGAAAGAAATAGAACTGCACAGTCACTTAGTAAATATTTTTTTAAAAGAAGAAATAAATTGACTTTTATTGAAAACTTAAATTGGTTTATAAATAGGTTCACTTAATTCTACAGTGTATTCCTTGGCCACCCTAGCACTTAATACCATATATTCCTAACCTTGCCTCCCTGACAAATATTCCTAGGCTTCGATTCTGAGGTTCCTCAGACTTGTCCTTCCAATATACCTCCCAAATGCCCCCTCTTCTAGTTTCCTCCTCCTTCTGGAATATAATCTGGGAGTAGGTCCCTTGTATTGCTATGCTTCCAATCAAAACATCCAATCTTCACAGATGGCAATGATTCATTACATCACTAACCATTGGATAGCCAATAATGGGCATCATTTGACCTCTACAGCTTCTCAGTGTTTGGGAGATGTGTTCTATGCTGCCAGGCCTTGACAATGAAAGGCATCATTTTTCAGCCATTCCCTCTCTTCTTTCCAGTTCTTTTTCCTGGAGGTCTAGGTAAGCCAGAGAGGTTAATTGACTGGATCTAGATCTTGTCACATGACTAAGTGACTTTATTTCCAGTAAATTTAAATTTCCATGAGTTGATTAACTGTATCAACTGGCTTTTTTGTTGTTGTTGTTGTTACACATGATGCTTGCCCCTCCCCCCCACATTCATCCAATTAAGATTAAGAACAGGCTAACCTGGATGCAATCCTCTGACGCTTACCTGAGAAGATGTCCTGATGAACTTATTGGAAGTCACTTCTGAATAGAGGTGCAGAGCATTATCAGCTGAATCACCTTCCTCAAGTGATTGGATCTGTTGGTTCTTTCGGATAAAGGAGTATGCATCTGTTGGTAGCAGCAATCATTTTGACGAACATTTAAACATTTCGCATAGAGACTTGTTAAATTAAGATATATAAGCTTGAAACAATTTTTCCGTTCAGTGGGAAGACATTAAGCTCTGTCTGTCCCATGCGTACATTATTTTCTGAAGCTTTTCAAGTTATCTCAATTATTTCAAGTTAGAAGAATCAAATGTGAACACAATATTTTAGAAAGGCAGCTAGAAGCAGTTACTTGCCACCACCTGGGTATTGATCTAAGGGGCCTTGGACTCTTTCCCCAGCTCCACTGAACATTCATGTTTGAATTTAAACATGATTTAAACTCTTTAATAATAATTAAATGTAATTAAACTCTTTAATTAGAAACAAACTAAGTTGGATGCAGCCGTTTTAATGTCTTCATATCATCTTCATGGATGACCAAAAAAAGAAAACATTCAGGGAGTCCTTTATATTCTTATGACAAAGAACGTTCTTCCTTTTTTTAATTATGGAGGGGAGCAGGAGAGAGGATAGCTCAAAGACCAATTGGGGTTCTCTTCTAGCGGCTTGTTTTAAAAAGTGGATTGCAAGCCATGTTTCCTGGTGTCCAATTTTCTCTATACAAGGGGAAACTAATCTACTTAGTATCACTGTTGTGCTTTGCCTGTACTAAAGACAGCTTCATTATTGCAGGCATTCCTGGAAATGTTTGCCTATCAGCCTTTCTTCATGTTGAAAGATCTCTGTCCACAAAGTAATTTTTTGAAGCAAACTGGGAGTTTCTATAACATTTTCCAACTTTCAAGTAGTTGAAGTCCTATCTGAACCTGAATGATGAGGTCATTCTTCACCTTGCAGATTGTAAAAAAAATGAAATCATGCCTAACCGTATAGACCCACAGGATGTAATCTATTTCTATTTTCCTATAAGAAGGACAGAAAGGAAATATATACTACATTCCATTTCCTGCCTAGGGTGTGAACAATCTAATTTCAGTTGAAAATGTGAACAGTGCAGGAAGAAAAGATTGAACTGGATATCCTTACCTGGTTGGCTTTCCATTTGTGTGTGACCACTGGGTATATATTGCTCTCTGAAAGTAAAGATTAAATTGTGAAGCTTCAGTGAAATGGGCTGGTGGGAAAATTCTCAAATTTTAAACTTCAGACTTCATATGAACATATACATCTTACTATGCTGATATTACAGGCCAGATGTTGTTACAAATTCTGTTTATCACAACATTCCAGGAGGTAACAACACATAAAAACAGAACATCTCTGAAGATGCCGGTCACAGGTGCTGGCGAAACGTTAGGAAACAAGACTTCAAGACCACGGCCACACAGCCCGGAAGACCCACACCAGCCATAGAACATCTTTTGCTTCAGGAGTTGCCTGTCTGCCTTGAAATCTGTTCCTGGCCATTCCACTCATAAAGTATTACAAAAAGATACAGCAAAATTGATTGCCACACATGTGTGCAGCACCTCTGTATCCTCTCTCTTTACACGCACAGAGAGAGAGAGAGAGTCTCATCATGTGAAGAGGATCAGTTTACTGTATTGCAAACATCTGGAAGATAGACTCATTGAGACGGAAGAGCCTATTTAGGCCAATGTAATCAGCCCTCTGCTTAGTGCAGGAATTCAAAGATATACCTGATAAGTGACTGTCTACCCTTCTCTTGAACACTTTTAGCAAAAGAAAGCTCATCACCTTGCTGGGTAATTGATTCCACTATTGAACTACTCTTACTGCTCTTAGGAAGGTATTTTGAGGTGGTGATGGTGGTGGCTTTCCCTAATGTTCAGTTGGAATCTGCTTTCCTGTCCCTTAAATCAATTATTCCATAATCTCCCTTCTGGGAGAAGAGAGACTAGGTCTTGACCTTCTGTGTGAAACTTCTTCAGGTGCTTGAAGAATGCTATCATACCATCCCTCAGCCGTCTTTTCTCAAGAGTAAATATCCACTCTTCCTTTAATCTCTATGTGTAGAAGACCATTTTTAGACCTTGATCAGTTTCATGCCCTTCTCTGAACTAATTTGTCTTAATCGTTCAAAAGTGTGATGCCAGAAACTGGAGGCAATGTTCAAGACAATGTCTGATCAATGGAGAATAAAGCAGAACTATTACTTCTCATGATTTGGAAAATATGCCTCTGTTGACAGTGCAAAATTGCATTTGTGGTTGTTGTCCGGTGGGTTTGTGTGAACCGAAAGTGTTACTTCCTAGTCTGATACTAAGTAACTAGGCTGATTTGAGGAACAAAGAAAGAACAAGTATGGTATGAAAAGTGTGGTCAGAAAGCTTTTTCTTTTCTCCTATGTCTTACAACATTAGAACTTGGGTCATCCACTGAATCTAAATGCAAGGAAATTCAGGACTAATAAAAATAAATACATCTTTAAATACCACAACTATGGAAGTCTTTGCTGTTTGATGGAATGGATACCAATCTGAATAGTAATTTAAAAGGGACAAGGAAATCCATGATCAGGCTATGAAAGTTACTATTCTTGATGACTATATATAATCTCCCAAGCCAGAGGCAGCATACATGAAATAGCAACTGCTGAAGAATGACAGTGGGTTGATACTGAACATTTCCAAAATTTTAATAAAACTTTAAATTGTACCTTTAAAAAAAATAGAGTTCCATAAAATGAAAAAAAAGATCAATAATGGATTTACTTGAACATCAATATAAATTTTCAGTGAAGGGATTTCTGTTAGTGCTAGGTATTTCCCTCTTAGTCCCTCTAGATACATCACTGGTTTTAGAACCAAGACAGAACAGTATTTTCTAGAATAGAAAGGCAAAGGATTATACAGAATAAGAGATTTTTTTAAAAAAAGAAAAAAGAATTTCTGTCACCTCATACTAAGGCAAGAGTATCATACTATGATAGTGTCAAGTAAATGTGTTCTTACAAATCAAAAGAATAAAAGATTTAGATGACTGTCCTCTTTTAGACTTTGAGAAGTTCATTGTTACTTATTTTTTAGACTCCAAAAACACAACGTTTAAACTCTATAATGCTTTGTTAAAAATATAAATGCATACCTTGTCTTCTGGCTTCGAAGAAGGGCGGGAAACAGATTTGGGAAAGCACATGGAGAATCATACATGGCTATCCTTTCATCTTCACTACAAGAACTGCAGCTTAAGATTTTACATCACTGGCACTTAAGAATATCATGTACATTACTTAAATCTCCTGTGATCATTGGGATCTCAGTATGCTTACCTGGTTGCTCTCCATTTTAATACACCTGAGAGAGAGAGAGAGACTTTGCATCATCTGAGATCTGTCTTTCACAATAAAGCATAGAACAGGGTGCAAAAAAGTATGGTCTAGGAACTTTGTGTATGTGTGCCTTCAAGTTAGTGTTGACTCCTGGTGACTAACTGGACAAGTCCTTACAGTTTTCTTGGCAAGCTTTCAGAAGTGGTTTGCCATTGTCTACTTCTTCCTCGGGCTGAGAGAGAGGGACTGGCCCAAGGCCACCCAGCTGGCTTTATGCCTGAGGCAGGACTAGAACTCACAGTCTCCCAGTTTCTAGCCTGGTTCCTTAATCACTACACCCAACTGGCTCTCCTCATATACTGTAGACTACCAACAACTTTTTCACAGCACCTCAGGGTGGATGGAGCTGAAATTTTACCCTTAAAAAAAAAGAGAGAGAGAGAACTATCTGAAGGAGCCAAAGGGTATCTTCAGCTATGCATTTTGTTCCTTCAAACCTCTTAAAAATACGACCTTCCCTTGCTCATTTTGGAGTGCAACCCTTAATAGTTGATGTAAAGCCTAAAGGTCCTCCATAGTCATGAGCCACAATAGTCATGAGGCATAGTAATACTCCTGAATCAGATCAACAGAAAGGAAAATCTGAGCATCACTGAGTATCAGATATTAACATCTAGTTTTAAACATGATTATTGACTTAAATATTACCTTTTTTCTTCATCACATAAGACATTATAGCAAAGATTAAAATAGCAGCTGTAATTCCAATTCCTAAGCCTAAAACGCAGAAAAAAAAAATAATGGATTAAACAATATATTCAAAAGGAAATGGGGGGGGGGGGACAGCAAAGAGAGAGAGAGAAAATGATAGCTAGTATTATATAGGCTTTATAGTTCCAATAGTAGAGAACAGTTTTATAGTTTATCGTGTTTACAATTAAGGTGAACAGTTCAGAATAATATTAGAGTTAATATGATTTGCCCAGCTTTGTAAAACTTGGAATGGAGCAATATCATTCCAATCATCATAAACTAAAATCAGACAGATACATAGAGAATAGCAGGTGATTTTTTTTTCTTTTCAGGGCAAGTTTATTTGCAGGGTTTTGATATGTTTATGAAAATTGTGCTATTTTCATTATTAAGTACTCTACGCTATTAATTGTTGTTACTTGAAGTAGAAGTAGAAAGGACAACTACTGCAGTCATTTTTCAATACCAATCCCCATCAGAACGAAGAGACTTACAACTACAAGCAGATTCAGAAAGGAAAGAACAGTATTCAAGTAAGATTAAAAACATTTTGGGGTGGGTGGGGGATTCTAAAATAAAGATAGAGAAAAATGAAACATTGCATATTATGGATACTCAGAGAAATTAAGCTTCGGTCCTCCACTCTGAAGTTGGTTTCCATAATGCAAAAAGCAAATTGCAGAATAATAATTAAAATATTCCATCAGTTAAGAAGAAAATTAAACATCTACTGAGATATTAAAGGAGATAAATAAAGAGGTTTTAGCAACAAGGCCTAAATCATACGCAAAGCCTATGTAGCTGGATCAATGGACCAAACATTTACCCAGTTTACCCAGGCTGGTTGGTTGAAGCCAATTTGGCAAATTCTGTCACCACAAGCACTTATTATTTTGTTGCCCTTTGTTCCATAATGAACAATCCACACTGCTGTTTTCTTAGCTAGTATCCCAACCCCCTAGAATCGCAGTCAAATAGCTCAGCTGCTACAAGTTCTATATAACATTTGGTTGGGTAGCAGGCACCTTTATACAGCAGAAAGAATGCATGGAAAGAAAAGCACTAAAGTCAGGAGTATAGCCTTTGTAAGAAAGTATGCTTGAGATTGGTCCTTGAATGAAGGAAATATAAAGTTAATCTTTCTTTTGGAAAGAACCTGCTGACAGGGAGCCTTGGTTTACTTAAATCTACCTATGGCTATGAGCTTGAGGTGTGCTGTTCTCTGCTCCAGAGAGCAGGCAAGTCAAATAAATACCTGCACACACCAAGTCAGAGTCAGAAGAGAAAGAGAACTAAATTGGGAGAGAAAGGAAGGGTTAAAAGCCCTGAAAATATCAATCTTGCCTGGTGTTTCTCAGTATTGGCAGCTTGAAGATACGTGGGCTTCAACTCCCAGAATTCTTCCACACATCTTCAAGTTGCCAAGGTTGAGAAACACTGATCTAACCAATAGGAGGCATGCAAAGCATGGGCTTATCTACACTGCAAAGCTGCTCCATCACCAGAACAGGACAGCTACCATTTTTTATGGCAGAAATGGACATCATTTTTACTCATCTCCAACCATTGCAAACGTGACTTTCAGACATGTTTTCTTGCTGCAGGAAATCATTTCCTTTCATGCCATCTCAACTACTGTTCTCCATTTCACTTTACATTACAGGCTAATTAATCCTATCTGCAAATTAGTAACTCCACAGAGAACCGAGGGGCATTCCTTAGCAAAGAGTTTTACCTCATAAATAAAAGATTGCTGATCCAAAACCCACAAACCCAGCAGAAACGTGTTTCCTAGCTAGCTGAAGAGGGGGAAAAAATAGGAATAAAAATATGTTTCTCATGAATTTCAAACCAGCAACCCCTTACATACTAGATAAAGCTCTTAGCTCTTGTGTTATTTTAGCACTGAAGAAAAAGGGTTGGGGCTGGGGTTAATAAAACTGCAAGCAATATTTGGGTAGCATCCAAATAATATATTATTCAAAGCATACTCACCTACAAAATGTGCATGATGTTTATCCTCTGCAAATGAGATAAAAATGAGAGGTATACTTTCATTTCAAATTGTACTGAATGTTTGCAAAATTACAAGAAAAAAATACATCATTTGGTCAATGATCACCAGTTTCATTAATGTAAACTCTACAAGTTTAAAGCTCTACAAGCTTTAATTAGAAGTAAAGCCTTTAAAAAAAAAACCCTCCCTATACTGTGCTTAGTTAATTGCCCTGCTGCCTTTAAACATCCATATTCAGTATTGTATACTGCTTTTCCTTATAAATAATCCCAAACTGCTATTTTTAATTACCACAAATACAATTAAAAACAACTTAGTACATAACTTTCTGAGGAAAAGAAAATGCGAGCACTCCAAATCTATTCTGTAAAACTTCTGTTGCTTCATTCCTAAATGAGTCTTTTTGGCAGAGATCAACTGTAATACAACAGAGTTGATACCAATAGAGGAGAATCGAGTTGAATCAAACAGCTAAATTTGAAGCACAGCCTTCATTTTCATTAGTGCTGCTTTCTACCCATGGGAGTCAATGCCTTTTCTAAAGCATGTTAAAAGGATTTAACCGTATCACCAACATTACAGATTGGAATATTCACTTATACATTGCCTATCCATATGGAAGTGAAACAATAGTGGTTTTAGCAGACTCAGACATCTTTCAAGATTTGCAGAAGTGTCTAATAAAAAATAAAGCAAAGCAAAAAACCCTTGAGCATTGAGTACGTTCAGTAGATTTTAGAATGACAGAACATTAAGGGTGTCAGTTATAGGTCATCTCAGTGGCAACCGGCCAATAGTGAATGGAGCTCCGATGTCTAATGTTGAGGAAAGAGCTAAAAGGTGAGTTGAGATGGGAACAGCTCAAAGCTTGTTCTCTCTTAGAACTCACCCCTTTTTCTGACATACCAGTTCTCTTTCTCCCTGTGTAAAATGCTATAGGATGGGACAGGCTACACTCGCTAAACCAGTGTTGTCCAAACTTGGCCACTTTAAGATGAGTGGACTTCAACTCCCAGAAT